GCGACTGTTTCTCTGGTCTTTAGACTTGCACCAGCTGTTCTTGCAGGGGATTCTCTGTGTTGGCTGGAGCAGCTAAATCTCGGTTTCTCAGCCGTGGCAACTTTCAGGTGGGCAGACTTCACTCATAGCTGGAGAATTCGGAGAGCTGATGTCCACCCATCGGAAAGTTGCCAAGGCTGAGAAACCCTGGCCTCAGCTGCGCTGGAGCTGCGCTGGAGATGAACCCCCATCCGGATTGCCCTCTTTGGCAAGTTGGCTGCAAGGCAAAACCACTTTTTGTAGTCGCTCTTTTCTCTTTTGAGGTTGTTAAAAAAAATCTGACTTTTTTGGGGCGGAGGGGAGATTCAAACTTGGCCCTGGGTGAAGATCAGTGCAGGCCTTCAGAAAGGGGGGGGAACACCCCTGCTCCAGCTGCCCCTCCCCTCCCTGCTGGGACTCTGTTTTCTGCAATTTGTGTCAATCAATGGCCAGGAAATGTTTGTCTGCCTAATAATGGCTCCTTGTTGAAATAGGTGGGGGAGAGTTTAACCAAGAAAGCTCTTTCTGCATGTGGTGCTCTGGGGTGGGGCACGGGGTGGCGGTGCTGGCAACTGCAGCTTTGGCATTAACTTTTAAGGGATCCCTTAAGAGCAGCGAACAGTTTTCAAAATGCTTGGGAAATCTTCGTGAAAGAGCCCTTTGGTTAAAAAGGCCGGATCTTTAGAAACACAGCTTGGGAATGAATGCGACAACGCCTCTCCTGCTCCCAGGCTGGGCACTTTCAAGGTGGCCCCAGAGGGTGGCAGCGCCTGAGAGTTTCGGGGCAGGAGCCCCCCTCCGGACGGGCCAGGCAGCTGCTCATCACGGGGGCCAGCAGGTGACTTCGGAGTCTTCAGTTACCTGAGTCAGGTGGACCTGTTGGCATAAATCTCTGCTGAGGAAATTCCATCTGGGCAGCCGTTTCGGTCAGTTGCAGCAAAGACAATAAAATCAGTCCTGGTCCGATGATAAATTGTGGCCCTTCCGCTCTTTTGCAACAAGCCCTGGAAGCCTTGCCCGGTGGAATTGTTACTGCCCATTTGTGACAGCCACAGTTGCCCTCCGTCTCGCCACGCAATTAGCACAACGGATGGCTGGCAAGCATCCGAGGGATCATGCAAAAGGCAAGGGACAAAAAGACACATTTCTTGCCTTGCTGCTTACACCCGGGCTTCTTCCGGTGGAAGCCACAAGGACTCAGAATGCAGAATAACAGAGTTGGAAGGGACCTTGGAGGTCTTATAGTCCAACCTATCCCATTTCTGACAAACGGTTGTCCCATCTCTTCTTAAAAACTTCCATTGCTGGGATGGAAAGGCTGGATCCTAATGAAGCACCTTGACTTGAAGGAGCCCCCCACCCATCTAGCACCTGAATAATTTGGATGATGTCCAGGAAGAACGTGGAGCAGGGAAATGCTTTGAAATCAGATGATCTACTATTGTTTTCCTTATTGATGCTGATGCAGAACCTCTGGTGAGACCATTAGAAAGAGAAACTGGAGTAGCCACATGGCTGAATGAAGCATCAGTGCCAGATATGCTGAGAAGCCTATTTGGATGGCTGGAAGAAAAGACTTTTAAATCTCTTGGAGGAAGTGAAGTTCACTACAAAAAAAGAAATAAGAGTGCGTCACCTGCTAGCCTCAACCCCCATGCAAAACAGACTGGAGAAACTGAAGGAGGAACCGTCTCCACCTCGGCTGTAATATCCGCAGGGATGGTGTCTGTTGCCAGGAAATAATAATAAACAAACAGGGTATGGCAATCTCTAATGCCTTTAAGTGGTATTATTACCTTTATTTAAAATGTTTACATATAGGAAGAAAACGGTTTTACTATGCTTAAAAAGTCATTCACATATGAATCATATGATGAACAGGATCAATGCAGCCAACACTCACATACGCAGGGATTAACACCAGACAAACAATCCAGCAGAAAACAATATCCTAATCAAGGAAGTACCAAGGGGAAATCCACCCCTCCCCCCCACACACACCAATTCTATACAGGGAGCACACCTCACTTGCACTGATGATGTTGCCTAGTTGGGTAAGGAAACGTCTGCAAGCCAAAAACCCTGCTCGAGAACACCAAATGCTACCCAGATTTGACTTTCCTTTTGGAAGTAACTAGAATCGTTCTTTTGTTTTATCTATAGGACATGTCATGATTATTATTATTTTCCTCCTCCAGATGTCAAATACCACAGAAATTATTAGACCAATTTGCGTGTGTGTGTGTTTGCATGCATATGCACCTTGAAGTGGGTCCTGGCTGAGTCTCTGCAGGTTTCTTGGCAAGACTTTGGGTGGGCTTACCTCTGTCTCTGCTTCCTGGGCTGGGAGGTGCACTGGCCAGCCGGCTTTCTGCCCAAGGTGGGGTGAGTCTCACCACTCCTGGTCCAGCACCAAACTGGTCCTCAGACTGATTTTGTGTTGCCTTCTTCCTCAACCAAAATCAGAATGTGTGTGTGTGTGTGTGTCTGTGTGTGCAGACAGAAGGAGGGAGGGAGAGAAGCTCAACTCTACTCCCTCCGTGGACCGTCCCTCCCCTACAGCTGTGGGATTCCCTGGTGCTCCCCACCCAGAAGCTGCCCAAGGCCAACCCGGGGTGGCTGGTGGAGATCAGCTCCAACTGGGAGAGTGCTGCACTGCCCCACTCTCACTCTGTTGAAGGTAATTCCTCCATGACCCATTTCTCTGCTTTCCTTGCCTTCAGGCCATGTACTCGACCAACCGTGGAACCGTTGGAGGATTCTTCTTGGCTGGCCGGAGCATGGTGTGGTGGCCGGTGAGTTTCACCAAGGAAGCCCTTTCTTCCCACTCTGTGTCCCTCTCTGGAAAGGCGGCATCTTTGCTCTGCACCTCCTACAGGGGATGGGGGGGGGACGGGAAACAGGTGTTCTGGCTTTGTAGCCAGAGGGGCTTCTGCACTGCAAGTAGGAAGCTTCCGAGGAGCCCAGCAGCCTTTTTTCCACCTGCTTCTCCTGACGGTACCCTCATTTGTGGATTTCAGCGGTTCCCAGTTGACTTGTTCACTTTTTCCTCTCCTTCAGACTCAACTTTTCCTCTGGATGCTCCCAACTGTCCTCCCATTGCTAGGTGAGGAGTGGGATCTGTCCACTCCTACTGGCTGCTTTGGGCTGTGATGGGAACCCCCTTTGTTGGGCATTGCTATCCATGGGTATTTTGCTTGGGCCTCAGGCAGACTGGACCCTTGGCTTCCACGATGCTTCCTTTAGCACCTGTCGAGTCTTATGGCTTCTGTGCTCTTTCAGAAGACCATTAAGTCTGCACAGAAGGCCAACATAAGCCAGGACAGGCTTTGGGCTAGCCAATATTGGATGCATTGCAGGTTCTCTGCTGCTTTTGCCAACCTAAGTTTGGTTTCCAATCACCAGTTCAGCCTTGAGGGATGAGTCTCTGCGTCTCCTTGGCCTGGAGCAGGGAGGCCCTTGGAGACCGACAGCAAAGGCACAGCTCAGCTGCTTCTGGCTCCTTCTTAGCCCAGAAGCTTCTGTAAGCTTCTGGTATTTTGTTCTGCGGCTCCCTCTCTGGCCACACGAAAGAGGCCTCCAAGCCAGGGAACTCCAGAGCCCAGCCAGAGCCTCTTGCAGGCAGCTCAGCCAGGCCTGCAGCCACGCTGCATCGATAAGTGAATCCCCTCTTCCCTGGAACAGCCCCTCCAGCACTGGAAGACAGTTGCCATGTCCCCCCATCCTTCTCTTCCTTAGCTTAGATGTACCCAATTCCTGCCACTGTTCTTTTTCGCACATTTTAGCCTCCAGCCCCCTAATCATCTTTGTTGCTCTTCTCTGCACTCTTTCTGGAGTCTCAGCATCTTTTTTTTTTTTTGGTATTGTGTTGACCAAAACTGGATGCAGTATTCCAAGTGTGGCCTATAAAGCGGTAGTAACTTTTCACGTGATCTTGATTCCGTCCCTCTGCTGATGCAGCCTGGGACTGAATTGGGGGTTTTGGCAGCTGCAGCGCACGGCTGGCTCATGCTTAGGAGGAGTAGCCCCTGTTTTGAGCCCCTTAGCCGGGTGAGGGGACATTTCTCCCAGCCTTTCCTGGCAGCTCCGTGAGGTTTACAAATAGCCCTTGACTTACAACCAAAATTGAGCCCAAAATTTCTGTGGTTAAACAAGACAGTTGTTGTCAGTTTTGCCCCATTTTATAACTTTCCTTGCCACAATTGTTAAGTGAACCATTACGGTTGTTAAGCTAGTAACATGGCTGTTGTGGCTTCCCCACTGACTTTCCTCGTCTGAGGGTCGCAAAAGGGGATCATGTGACCTCGGACTCCGCAACCATCATAGGCTTGGGTCAGTTGCCAGACGTCCGGATTGCGATCATGTGACCCTGGGGATGCTGCGGTGGTTGTAAGTCACATTTCTCAATGCTGTTGTTTCTTCGAACAGTCACTAAACGAATGTTTTAAGTTGAGGACTATCTGTACTTCTGGCTGAAGCTTTGTGGGCTGGAAGGCTGTGGGAGCCCCTAAAATGCTCCATCTTTCGTGGCCTCTCTGAGCCCCTGACCCACGGCTCCCTCCCTTTCCCCTCCAGATCGGGGCCTCCCTGTTTGCAAGTAATATCGGCAGCGGCCACTTTGTGGGTCTGGCAGGGACAGGGGCGGCTGCAGGAATTGCCATTGGAGGCTTTGAGTGGAACGTAAGTACTTTCCCCTTCTGTCGGTCCTGGGCGCGAATCTCAGCTGGAAATCTCCTCCTGAGCCCGTCTCCAGCTGAGCTGCAGAACCCTGGCCCCCACTAACTGGCGAGTGGATGCCCTGGAGGAGGGGGGGGGCAGGTTGGCAAAAGACCACTCAAGCCCTTTGGATGCCCCACCTGGAAGAGACACTTGCTTGCACGTGATGGGGCTGGGCTGGGCTGCTTTGGTGGGTGGGGGGGCCTTCCCCTCCCTGCCTGGCCCTGTGGGAGAGACAGAGTCAACCCCTCTTCCCCCCCTTCTAGGCCCTGGTGATCGTGGTGATCCTCGGCTGGGTGTTTGTGCCAATCTACATCAAGGCCGGGGTGAGTAGATGATTCAGTGATTCTGCCCGCTGCTTCTGGGGGAGGGTCTCCCCGAAGGGATGTGGCTTGTCCTGGGGACTCTGGGCAGCACAATCTATCGGATCGCCACAGAAACTTTAGACCCATGGTGTAGGGTTCCTGCCTGAGCAGGGGGTTGGACTCGATGACTTCCAAGGTCCCTTCCAACTTTATTATTATTATTATTATTATTATTATTATTATTATTATTATTATTATTATTATTGTTGTTGTTGTTGTTGTTGTTGTTGTTGTTGTTATTATTATTATTATTATTATTATTATTATTATTATTATTATTATTATTATTATTATTATTATTATTATTATTATAAAATGACAGCCAAGGATAGAGCGAGAGAAATAGAGGCAAGTAAAGGAAAACGGGAACTAAGATATTCATGAGATTTCAGATCTCCCAGGCAGTCTATTTAGTCTCATAAACCTCATTAATTAATACCCCACTTAAGCACTAAAATGCTATTTAATGCACCACCGTTTTAATAAATTAAACATATTTAGAAAATGTAAAACATTAAAATATTTAAGATAAAAACTTTTCAATTGAGGAGCTACTGGATTAGGATCCCAAGTCAGCGCCCCTAATCGGCTTCCCTGAGTTGGGGAATACAGCAGAGCATAGGGAAAGACCCTACCCAGCTACACTCCGTGTTTCTTAAGGGAGCTCCATAATCAGCCTGCTTTAAGCAGAGTTTTGCTCCTTGCCAGGTGACGTCGGATCCTTATGTTCAAGTAAATATTTTACATAAATACCATCTGGGGCAGGGAGGGTTTTTTCCTTCAAAGGAGCAAGAAAGGTTTTGCCAACATCCGTGCAGAAGAATGTGGGCAAACCTTTCAGCTGCTCTGCCTGGGATGGGGGGGGGGGGACGATCTTAGACCTGGGATGGGGGGACAGTGAAGCGAGCATGGGAGAAACTCTGCAAAACTTGGCTGCGTGTGAATAGACACAAGACACCGGCAACTCCTTGCCGCAACTCGCATTGATCTTTCTGTCTGCCCAAATCAGCCACTCTCCATTGCCAGCCCTCTCCTGGGCGGCTGCGTCTCTCTTCCAGGAACTAAACTTCCAGGTGCATGGAATGCCTGTGTCTATGGGGCCAAGCCTGGTGTCAGGAAATTCAGCCTTGGCTAGATGTGACGTCTCTTCAGCGAAGCACTAGTCCAGGAGTGTCCAATCTTGACAACTTTAAGACTTCTGGATGTCAACTCCCAGGATAAGAAGGAGGGAATTGCCCTCTCCAATCCTGATGCTCCCTCAAGGGCTCTAGAGGCACCCCCTGGCCCTTCCGCACCCTCTGAGGGTGGAGGGACATCATGTGCCTGGGCTACAGGGAGCTCCATGAAGGTCCCCATTATGAGGTTCTTCCACGAGCCTGGAGAAGACTCAGCTCCTAAACTCACCAGCATCTTCCTGAAGATATACAGCTTTGCTAGCTAGGAATTCTGGGAGTTCAAGTCCACAAGTCTTAAAGTTTCCAAGACTGGACACCCCTGCTCTACTCACCATTGGGCAGACCTGCATCCAGATGGGTAGATCTTGGATTGATGGACTCAAGGAACAGTGTCTGACCTCCTGGCCACCGTTCAGCTCTGAGAAGGGCCACAAGGACCTTGGCAGCAGCTGGAACATCTTTGGATCCCTCTTATATACAAGAATGCCCAAAAAGCTCTACCAGCTTTTCTGGACTTGGTGAAAAGTGAGATTTTGGATTCTCAGTTGGCCCAAAAATGCTGGTAAAGCCAACCACCTGGCCCCACTTCCACCCACCCGACTGACATCTAGTTCAAACTTTGAGGTTTGCTTCGAGACCACCCTAATCTTTGCTTGGCTGTCATTCAGTTATAAGTGATCAAAAAGGAGGACAGGAGACTTGGGCCCACTGGAGTCAGAATAGAATATTTCGTTATTTGATTTGCACGGGGAAACAAGCTGTCTGCCTGCAGCATTCAGGGTGGTGCTCAGACAACAGCCATGGAATGTCCATAAAAACTGAATAACAAAGAAGTAACAGTGCCGCCTTGTTTCACTCCTCCCCTGCCTGGGCCAGGCCCACGTGGGGCCCGGGAAGAGGTTTAGCAAGAAGGTCTTTCAGTTCAGAGGCTTCTTTACAGAAAGAGCATCTCTGGCCCTGTTGCCCCTCCAGGTGATTATTTACCTGCAAGGATGCTGTTGACATGGGCCAGGTTTCTCAGCAGGCTGGCCCCAGATCCAGGGCTCCGTAGATCTTTTTTCTTTTTGTAACTTAAACACATTCAGCAGAATTGCTCCTGTGGCCCTTCCCCCCCCCCCCCCCCGTTCTCAAGAGAAGAAGCAAAGTGAATGTGGTGGTCCTTCGTTCTACACGGATGTCAGCTCTGAGAAGGAGAAAGGAAAGCCAAAAAGGGAGAGGGGAGGAAGGTGCCAACCACCCTTCTCCTGGTTAGTCACTGAAGAGCCTTTTTGGCAGAGTTGGGTTTCTAAACCGTGGAAAATTTAAGACGCGTGGACTTTAAGAGGTGTGGACTTCAACTCTCAGAATTCCCTATCCAGCAATGCTTCTGGGAGTTGAAGTCCACACATCTTAAAGTTCCCAAGGTTGAGAAACCCTGTCCTAGAGGTTGCTTTTGCATGGTGGGCCAAAATTTGCACCCCTCTTTTTTCAATCCATGCTTCTGCCATTCTTGGGATCCTCCCCACCAGATGTCCCCCCCCCAACAGCACCTTTTCCTCCCTCGCAGGTGGTCACCATGCCAGAGTATCTGAAGAAGCGCTTCGGAGGGAAACGGATTCAGATCTACCTGTCAGTCCTTTCTCTGCTCCTGTACATCTTCACGAAGATCTCGGTGAGTTTAGGAGCTGAATCCTCTCCAGGATCATGGTGGGAAACTTCATGGCATTTCCTGCAGCTCAGGGGGCAGGGAAGGGCCAAGGGATGCCTCTAGGGCTTTTGAGGGAGCATCAAGAGTGGAGGGGCAGGTAAAGGAGGGTCTTGAGACCCTTCCAATGGGTTGGTAGCCGTGCAATGGGCCCAGTGACTTGGGGAACCTTCCCATCATGAGGGTTGGATATTCGCACCTCACAACATCTGGGCTGGATGGATCACAGTCCCAGACACCTGAGCCCCCCATCTTCCCATGGACCTCTGAGGGGCACAGTCCAGAAGGAAGTCTTCTCCCTCGGCTCCCAAAGAAATGGCTGCCTGAATTTGTTTCCAAAGCAGATGGCTTCCTACAAGCCCTTCTTTTCAAGAGTGAAGGCTGTAAGAAGCCTTGGGGGGGGGAACTAGTGAGTCCAAGGGAGGGGTCTCTCTCTCTCTCTCTCTCTCTCTCTCTCTCTCTCTCTCTCTCTCTCTCTCTCTCTCTCTCTAAGGCCAGGGCACTGTGCCCCATGATGCTACTCTTTGACCAGTGAACAAAGGGCAGGAGTTAATTGTGCCCATTAACCCAAGGCCCCTGCCTTCTCTCACTAGCTGGCAATAAATGATCTCTATCAGGGTTATTGATTAAACTCTAATGGGATGGGAAGGGCACCCCCCCCCCCAAGAGGCAGGGGACACGATGGGAGTGGGAGAGATGCAGACGATTCTGCCTTGAAGGGCAAAGAGAGCAGTGCTGGGGCCCTTTGGTTGCAGGCAGACCCTCCATCTCGTGCCAGGCAGGCAGTGCCAAAGCAACGGAAAGAGTGCCATGCTCTGTTAGAGTGCAGACTCTGTTAGAGCCCCACCATCTTTTTGCAAACTAGCACAGCCAGTTCCGAGGGGGAGACCGCGTCCCTCCCCAGGAGACCTGGGTCAGCCCTACCACAGCAGGTTGCATGAGGCCATGCAGGAGGTGCAGGTGCTGGGAGAGTGTGGGGACGCTGCAGTTCCCGTAAGCAGCGCCTTCAAGAAGCCACACCTTTTACTCCACACCTGCAATTACCTCTTTGGCACTGGATGAGTCAGGTGGAAGGGCGGAGGAAGGCAGGGCTGAGACCAGACTCCTAGTGGGGCCCCGTTCGTGGATGCTCAGGTGCAGAGCCCCCACCCCACTTTGTTGCATGTGAAAGGGAGGAGGGGGCACTCGCAGTCCATTGCAGGAGCAGGCTGGAGTCCATGCCCTCAGGAGGACAACAATCCCAGGCTCCAGTGAACTTCCAGAGTCTGGAGGACCCGCTCTCCCTGCACCCCCATTTAAGTCTGACTACTTAAATCAGAAAGACCATAGTGGTGGCTCCTCCCTGAGCAGGGGCTGGACTAGATGGTCTCTAAGGTTATTGCCAGCCATTATCCTCTCTGCTTCCAGGGAGCAGAGACTGGTGGCAGTAGAGATGGCTGATCCAGGACCAGCAGCCACACCTCCTCCGGCCCCACTCCTCCCTTACTGCTCCCCTGGGGCACCCCTGTAACGAGGCCCACACAAAAGGAAGCCCTCGCCACGTCTTTGTGCAGCACAGGCCTTCCGGGTCGGGAGGTTGGCGAGGCCCCTTGGGGCACTGCTGCCGCTCTGCCTGGCACTCTGGCTTAATGGGCCAATTCTTCCTTCCCACCACAGGCAGATATATTTTCTGGAGCCATATTCATCCAAATTGCTATGGGACTGAATATTTATGTGGCCATTATCATACTGCTGACCATCACTGCCCTGTACACCATCACAGGTGAGTCCCATTGGCAGGTGAGCCTCCCAGCCTTGATGTCAGCTGCTGAAGCAGGCTCAGCCCCCAAACCTTTGGGCCCCCTGGTGCCTGGGAAGCCTCCCCGTCTCCCCCCTGCCCATTTCCCTGCATGAGGGAAGCCCAAGGACTTTCTCTGGGGAGGGGGGCGGCTTGGCCCTGGGCCTCCTCTCTCCCTTTACCCCTTTATCCTTCTGCTCCCCTCGCTCTGCCTGGCAGGAGGACTTGCCGCCGTGATCTACACAGACACACTGCAGACCTGCATCATGTTGGTGGGATCCGTCATCCTGACCGTCTTTGGTAAGCCCGAGTTCAAAACCAGCCCTGAAAGTGCCTTGCCCCCAGGTACACCATGGCTGGAATTCAGGGGAGACCTCCAAAAGACCCTGAAGGATTTTAGCTGGGTACCCGGGAGTTGCTTTCAAGAAGACCGAATGGAGCCCAGATTCGCCCAGACACGAGGCGCTTGAATCACAGAATCACAGAGTTGGAAAAGACCTCAGTGTCCCTCTAGTCCAGTGTTTCTCAACCTTGACAATTTTAAGGCATGTGGACTTCAACTCCCAGAATTCCACAGCCAGCAATGCTGGCTGTGGAATTCTGGGAGTTGAAGTCCACATGCCTTAAAATTGTCAAGGTTGAGAAACACTGCTCTAGTCCAACCCCTTGTTCTGTGCAGGATCTGCTAAAGCATTTGAGACAGATGGTGGTGCCCCCTTGGTCTGAAGACCCTCAACGCTCTCCTTCTCGAAGCTGGTTAATAACTCCTCCCTGTAGGATATTTTTCCTCATGTTGTTCTAGCCTCTTGGTTATGGGTGCCAGAGAACATGCCCACCCCCTCACTGAGGAAGGGTCTAGGAATTTAGGCAGCTCTAAATATGGTGGGCTGGCTCTGATCTAGCTTAGTTTTCAACATACACACGAGAAATCATTCCACAGCACTGGGTGTGTGATCATCGGTGTGGATTCACTGTATGTAGCTTTCTGTCTGTCCTGTGTTCTGTCCATGATAACTATGGCTGAGCCCTTGTCTTTTGGGAGGATGTGATGGTTTGGACCTTCTTTGGGTCTTTGAGACTCTAGTTTGAGCTGGTTCTGCGTCTGCGTTCTTCTGGTCTGTGTGCCACTGTTGGCCTTAGGGCAGATGGTTTTAAACCCCGCTTCCAAGGCTGCAGAGAACTCTAACTGACTTGCATCATCCATGTTTGTTCTGAAGGATGTGGTGTTCTGCGATGGTCGGTGGGCAGTGGGGCATGTTGACAACCCAGTTAGGTTCAGGTGCCTCTTTGCTTATGGGGTTCAGCTAGAGAAGTTGGATTGGGAATTTTGTTCTGCTTTTTTCAACTTGTCTTAGTGATGGGGGTTGCCAGAGTCTTTGTGTGTTCTGGATTCTTCCAGCTAAAGTTATCTATGGTGTGTTGGCATTTATTTAGTCTAGCACAGGGGTAGGCAACCTTGGCTCTTTTATGACTTATGGACTTCAACTCCCAGAATTCCTGAGTCAGCATAGCTGACTCAGGAATTCTGGGAGTTGAAGTCCATGAGTCATAAAAGAGCCAAGGTTGCCTATCCCTGGTCTAGCATCTCTGATCATTAGCAGCATCACTCTTTGGCTGCTTTGTTGAAACAATGAAATCTTGATTTTTAACATTTATTTTTGCAGCAGTTGTAAAAATTACATCTATTTTTTCTTCTTTATTTCCCCTTTGCTTTTCCTTTGCTTTTGTAAATTTAATAAGTAAACAATGCAGACTGATTTTAAAAAATAATGGTGGTTAACGTGCTGTGTGAACCCAGCTTGTGGGGATCAGTGTTTGGCTCTATACATTGTGTGAACTGAGAAAATGGTTCACTTAATCCCAGAGTAAGCATGTTGCACAAACACAACCACGCACATTCAACTGAACACGCAAACCCAGTTTTCTCCTGCAGCAGCGTAAGGATCGGAGGCGTTCTTTTTAAAGCAGAACTGAATCTCCCAAAGTACCAGACTCAGCTGTGGCCATAACTGGTCAGGTTCCAAGATGGATCTTTCTAGGAAATGGCCCAATTCTGCCTTTACAACAGTCACCTGAGCTGATGTGTGTCCAACCACGTGGGTGTGCGGGAGAGGAGAACTCTTCGGCTTTGTCATAGACTTGCTTGTCCTGACGGATCGTGTGATTTTCTTCAGCATTTAAGGAAGTCGGAGGATATGAGGGCTTGCTGGAATCGTACATGAAAGCCATCCCATCCAACATCTCCTACGATAATGTGACCATCCCTGAAAAGTGCTACACTCCCCGTCCAGATGCCTTCCACATTTTCCGGGACCCTGTGGACGGCGACCTCCCTTGGCCTGGACTCATCTTTGGCTTGAGCATTCTGGCATTGTGGTATTGGTGCACTGACCAGGTAGGGTCATGACGCTGTCGGTATTTTTGATGTTCCCCGCCCACAGGTCTTCTCTGTGGGATCGCCCTGATCCTACGCTTGGAGACCTAAAGAGACAAACTTCGGCTTTAGGAACCAGGACATTAAGAACTGGACTCGTGGGCCCAGATCACTGCCTTAGCCACACTTTTCAAGGTGGGCTTCTAAAGCCGAGGGTGGCCTTGGGCTGGGCAGAGGCAGGCTGATTATCATTTTGGTCTTTGGATGGCAGCTGGGAGGACATCGCCAGTCCCAAATCTTATTCTCTGGCTGGCATTTAAATTAATTGATTAAATAAATAAATATTCCAGACATCTGCTCCCAAACTACGGTTGATTGCATGTTGTTGAGTAAGTTAACTGAATGGTGACTTATGGAATGAAGCTAATTAATTTTCAGGATACACTGAACTGTAAAGGAATCAGTGCAACCAGAAGTTGAAACGCTACTTGACTCCTTTGTGGCTCAGTGTATCATGTGAATCTAGCCTGAGTGTCTTACGTAAAAAGCTGCGCCAACCACGGGCTCTGCCACGGTGCTGGTGAGGTGGGCCTGTAGAACCCAAAGATCTTCCCCATTGTATATAGCATGTTTAAATGTATGTTATGTATGTGCACACTTTTGAGAGCAAGCAACTAAATTTCATTTTTAATGTGTGCCAATGTGCCCACAGTAAGAAATGACAATAAAGGTTATCTATCTCTCTAAAAGCAAAGCGACCTTGCCACAAGAGTAAGGAAAGGCCCACCGTGCCAAGCAATGTCTGAATCTGGGATGCCCTGGTCAAGAACAACCTTTGCCCCAGGGCCAGCCCTTGTGGAAAAATCATGGCACAGAGCAGAGGTCATTTCCAAGGCCTGTTCCGAAGGATGGCCTTGTCCCAATGACCGGACCGCCATTTGTATGGAATGACGTAGCAGGGTCTCCTGCTTGAGCAGAGGGTTAGACTAGAAGACCTTCAAGGTCCCTGCCAATGCTATTATTCCATGTTCTATCTCTGTGCTTGTTCATTTGCCCCTCTCTTGGGCAGGTCATTGTCCAGCGATGCCTCTCGGGGAAAAACATGTCCCATGTCAAGGCGGGCTGCATCATGTGTGGCTACTTGAAGTTGCTGCCCATGTTTCTGATGGTGATGCCAGGCATGATCAGCCGCATTCTGTACAAAGGTGAGGGCTGCTCCCCCCAGGAGACCGAGGGCAGACTGGCGCCAGCCTGCTCAGCTCGCTCACGAGGGCCGCGGTTTCCCTTCTTCCCACAGACAGAGTGGCGTGTGTCGTTCCCTCGGTGTGCATGGAGGCCTGTGGGACAGAGGTTGGCTGTTCAAACATCGCCTACCCAACAATGGTGGTGGAGCTCATGCCAGACGGTGAGAGGAGGCCGGGGGGTGGGTGGGTTTGGGTTATCTATGCCTTGGACTGCAATGCTGGCTGAGGTCCGTGCCCAGGATCGTGTGTCCCAAAGGGTTCTGACAGGCCGCCTGGCTGCCTTCTGCCCAGAGTCTGCCATAAAAAGGCGGCCCCTGCAGGAATCCCAGGTTGATCCTAAAGCGATTATGATGCCTAGTGGCTTTTTTAGGTCACTTGGAGGAGGTGCTTCTTCTGGCATGATGAGTGCACCCCTGGATCACATAGCCTTTTCCCAGCTGTGCTCCTGGGCATTGGGTTGCTAGGCCAGATGGTTGAGTTCTCCTCCGTGTGGCTGCGCAGTAAGCCAGCTTTTGCTGCAACCCGCAACAGGCGCTGCTCACACCAAACCGTTGCCTATTCACACCTCCCCTGCTTTGTTTTTCAGGGCTACGAGGCCTGATGCTCTCTGTGATGCTGGCCTCGCTGATGAGTTCCCTCACTTCCATCTTTAATAGTGCCAGCACCCTCTTCACCATGGACATCTACACCAAGATACGCTCCATGGCCAAGGAGAAGGAGCTCATGATTGTCGGCAGGTAAAAGTGCTTGGCGGCAGCGGCAGCAGCGAGGGCTCAGCAAAGGGGGGATTGCAAGAAAGGGCAGCTGGAGGGCGGCCGGACACCTTAGGGACCCTTTTGGCACTTGGGAAACCTGCGTTGGTCACCTTCCCAAAATGGCTGCAGTGCAGGGAAGACTGCTTCCCTTTTCCTTTTGTGGCTGAAGGAAGCTTCCGGGCTTTGGAAATGAAAACGTTGATCAAAGCAAGTCATCAGAGGGCAAATAATCTGACTATGGAGCCCCTGGTGCCGTTTTGGAGACCTTTGCCTAGCAAGGAACGGCTTTTACCTTTCCTCTGCATGCCGTTCTTCACCTGAGAATTGCAGGTTGAGGGCCAGTCCGCCAGTTGTTCTGCACAGCCTCCTATCTAAAGTCCACAAGGACTGAGATGGTCACTCTTGGGCCAGAGAGCTCCCTGGCGTGGGCAGTTCTGCAGCGCCCCCTGGAGGGCATCTGGCTTAATTGAGGACGCACCTTGCAGACTTGATAAGAAGGATGGCCGACTTTCCTGTCTCCTTCGCGAAGGAGCTGCTTGACAGGAGGGACAACCCGCCAAGTGACTCGGTTGATCGGGCTGTTTATTGAAATTTAGGCTTATCTGTCCCTTTAAACAAGTGAAGGGGGTCTGCAGGAGTAGTCAAAAAAGTCAAATTCCCCCCCCCCCCATTTTCTCTGTGCGATGCGGATACAAAATGGGCAGGGCTTCATTTGCGCGGCCACAACCACACTCCCTCTGCTCTTTTTGCAATTAACTAAAGACAAAAAACAAAGAAAAGGAACACACAATATTCATAGAAGACAAAAGCTGGAAAAAGAAACCAAAACATACAGACACAATCAGCGTCTCCTTGCAGTCAGGCATCTATGAATAAATGTAAATATAGCAGCCGCCCCTGAAACAAATGTGGATGAGCTCAGATCCATCTGCCAAGGTGGCTCTTGGGCGGCTTTGTGGCTCAGTGGCTGGGCTGGCACAGGACAGCGTCACCCAATGCCTCTCTCTGCCGCCTTCTCCTCCCAGGCTTTTCATCCTGGGCCTGATTGGCATCAGCATCGCCTGGGTGCCCGTGATCCAGTCTGCGCAAGGTGGGCAGCTCTTTGACTACATCCAATCCATCACTAGCTTCCTGGGACCGCCCATTGCTGCCGTCTTCTTCCTGGCCATCTTCTGCAAGAGAGTCAATGAGCAGGTGAGCAGCTGGCCCTTGGTTGGGGGGGGGCAACCCCTTGCCAAGCCCTGCCAGGTGGGGCCCCTTTCTTTCTCTGCCTCTCCAGCTGGGAGGGAGCCAAAGAGAAGCTGGAGGTCCCCTGCCGGCTTCAGGGCTGGAGGGTCTTCTAGCCCATGGAAGTTCTGCAGGCCAATCCCCTCACAAAAGGAGGGGTGTTTGTGCCCAGGACATGGAAAGGCAGCTGCATGGCGTGGTTTCCGTGGCACAAGAGGAGGAACAGGTGGGAAGAGCCTGGGAAAGAGGTGAATAGCCCATCTCACAGGCTGCAGTCTTTCCCTTGGCTGATGCAGGTGTTCGTCTTAATTTCGATTTAAGAGCTTTGCTTACTCGTCACGAGACTTTTTATCTGATTAACACATATGTTGGTCAGTGTAATTATTTTGGCTGCAGCCAGATTGATTAGACTGAAGAGATCAATTGGCCAGATCCATTTCTTAATCGGGGCTCCTGAGCAATCGGTCCCTGGGAGGCTCCTAGCCCCGGGGCTAAGCCAGACTCCCTGCCAGGCCGGAGGGCAGGAGGGTGTTTCTCCTCTTTTGGGCTGCCGGCGTCTTCCTGGTGCTGCTTTCAAACAGCAAAACTGCTGCCCAGATCCTGGTTTTCCAAAGGATTTCCAGAGTTCCCTGAGAGGGGCTGATCTGACGCCACCTCACCATCCTTCCCTCCCCCTGGGCCAGCCCCCCCTCTTTACCCTCTGCAGAGCACGTCCACCAGAGCTCCTGCCTCCCATGGAGGCTCTCCTGGGGCCATGGGGGGGGTCAGTGCAAAGAGCCCCCTGAAATTGACCAGGTGCCCAGGTAGCCTCTCTGCCTCCGACCCCCTCAGTCAGTTCTGGTGTCTCACAACAATTGCAGCTCTTCTGAGGACATCCTGGAAATCTCTTCGGATCTCACCCACTCCCCCCCCCATTTCTGCTCTCTCCTCTTTTTATGTGTTCCTCAGCCTCATCAAGCACCCTCTTTTTTTAAATCCATCATCTCCTTGCATCAAAGAAGCTGAGTTGCTGAGGATCGCCGCAAGGGATCATTCATTATGCATTTAACTACTCAGCCCAGACCCAGACTAAAGACTCAGGTGGAAGCAAACTAAACCCAAATGCGGCTTTTAGGATGTAGCCAGCCACCGCCGAGAGTCACCTTTGGTGAGATGGGCATGCATAAGTTAAACAAACAAACAAACAAACAAACAAATCAGGGCTACTAGCATAGCAAGCCAGGAGCCTCCAGACTAAAAGGCCCATGAGATGCCAACTCTGTGCCTCCAAGGGATTTTCTAAAGCAACCTCCTGCGCCTCACGAAGGCCCCCGTTTAGGGCTTTGCTTGAGTTTTCAGTGATCTGATTACAAGAACAGGCAATCGATTGTGGGGATGCTGCCACGGTTGTAAGTGTGAAAAATGGCCATAGTTCACTTTTTCCAGTGCTGTTGTAATTTTGAACGGTCACTACAAATGAACTGTTGAAAGTCGAGGACTGCCTATATAATCCTTGTGGTGGTTTCTTCTTTGAGGAGAGAGTCAAATGAGAAAAAGCTCCTGAACGTGAGCTAGAAACTGGTGGGATCAAGAGATCCAGCCCTCCAAATTCCCCCCCTCTCCCTCCCTCCCTCCCACATTCTTTTAGCTTATAGTTATAATTAAAGCTATCAAATTAATAATCAACATTAATCAATTAAAATGTCCTGAATTCAGTTCACGGAAGGAAACCTCTTAGATGTTTGGTACCTGTTGGTGCAATTCCCGTTCCTTTCTCAGGCTCCGCAGCCTGGAAGACTGGAACAGGCCGGTTCTCACACTGCTGGCTTCTGTCAAACCTGTCAGCCCCCTCCACCCCACCCACCCACCCACCCACCCCCGGTCATCTCTACCCCCCCTCCAACAAATGATGGGAGGATGCCAGCGAGGCACCAAGCTGAAGATGTCAGATCTGACACTCTCTTGCTCAAGCGGTGTGTGTGTGTGTTGGACTAGATGACCTCCAAGGTCCCTTTCAACTGTGTTATTCTCTATCTATCTATCTATCTATCTATCTATCTATCTATCTATCTATCTATCTATCTATCGCAATGCTATGTGTACAGTTGTGAGTCCAAAGAATGACTGAGGACTGCATGGAGGTGAGGGGGGAAGAGGTCCTCCTGAGTGCATTTTGCTCTCTGTTGCAGGGGGCCTTCTGGGGCCTGATAATAGGACTGGCAATCGGGCTGTCTCGAATGTTTGCAGAATTCGCCTATGGAACCGGCAGCTGTGCTGTGCCCAGTGAATGCCCAGCGGTCATCTGTAAAGTTCACTACCTCTATTTTGCTATCATCCTTTTTGCTATCTGCATCACCCTCATTTTGATCGTCTCGTTCCTGACCAAGCCAATTGACGACGTCCATGTAAGCCGTCTCCCTCCTCTTCCTGACCCTCCCCACCTCAGTTCTCTCTTCCCTGAGATTTTGGCCACATGTGGAGAAATATCTGTGGGTAACAGCGTACAGTGGCTCACCGACTCTCAGTCCCTGAGCCTATCGTGAACGCCCAACATGGGTGAGAATCAAAGGAAGAGCCGTTTCCCTTTCCCTTCATCGCCACCTTTGGGGCCCTCAGATCTGAGGCAGCCACACCTCCCGTTCAGCAGAAGCGAAAGCCAGCAGGGTGGGCGGAAACCGGCTTGAAGCCATGTTAGATGGGATGCCTTCTGGGGGCGCATCTCCCCACTTCCATCTTGTTGGGAAGTTCAACACCGCACGAGCAGTTGTATAAAATTTTGTGTTGTTCTGCCAGAGGTATTGGGTACAGAGGGAGTAGGCGTAGTGGAGTTATCAGGGCACTTCTAGCAGTCCCTTTTGAACCAAGGCCGAGGCTTGGTCCTGTCCTCCTTCAAGGTCATTTCAGCTGCTCCTGCTTCATTGTTGTTATCTTTGTTTCCTGAGCAGCTTTATCGTCTTTGCTGGACTCTGCGCAACAGTAAAGAACAACGTGTCGATCTGGATGCAGGGGAGATGATGCAGGGAGTGGAGGACTATGAGGAGGAACCAGGTGAGATCACCTTTACCAGGAGATTTCGAGTTATTTCAAGTCCAGGACAGACCAGGCTGGACCTCTCCTAATCTATCTGGCCTAGATATCAGACTTTTGGCCAATATGCTCACAGGCATCCGAGCTCATTAGAGAGCCATCACTTTTCAGGCAATCAAATTTAGGTTGGGATGCTAAAAAAAAAAACAAATGCCAGGAGGAATTTTGATGGCCCTCAAGAAGACTGAATAGTTCAAATATGCGTTTATTAGTTAAGGATTCTGCAGCAGAGGTTCAGAGCAGATTCAGTCTGGAGAAAGGGAGAATATAGCAACCCTCTTCAAAGGCCAAGAAGGGGCCTCTCAGAAGAAGGTCAGGAGTTCTTCTGTAGGCAGTTCTCCTGCAGTTCAAAACATGGACTAATGATCTTAAGTTATGGAAAACAGATTCTCATGGAATGATAGAAAGAAATTTCCTAATAATAAGTAAGTAGGCAGGTTCAGCAGTGGGATCAAGGACCCAGAGGACCTAGCAGAGGACACCCCTTCCCTGGAGGTGTCCACGTAGAGGTTGGACAGTCATCTGTCTGGAATGCTTTGATCTTTAAGGACCTCCTGGAAGTCCCAGGAGGCTGAAGAAAAGCAATTGTGACCCCATATTCAAGGGGAAAGAAGGAGGGAAAGGAAATGACAGACCTGTCAACTTAGTTTCTGTACTGAGTGAGATCCTTGAACAGATAGTGAAGCGGTATGTTTGTGAGCTCTTGAATAGAGGCAACAATTGATAGGCATCTGATTGGGTTGGTTGTGATATCCTCCTTCCTAAAATAGTAAAATGTGGACCACGTGATGTGGCAGTTAGATTTATTTATTTTATTTATTTATTTATATTTAAACTTCTATGCCGCCCTTCTCCCCAGAGGGACTCAGGGCGGCTCACAGCATGTTAAAAAACAACACAAAAAAACATTTCCCCTATAAAACCAATTAAAAAGCAAATATATTAATAGCTGTGTCATATTTAAAATCTTTGAAAATTTTTAAAAATTATTCCCTATTTAA